CAGCGGTGTTCGGCGGGGAAATGCAAATGCACTACCTTTTCTGCGGAACAAGTCGCCATACATGTTCCAACCCCCAACCTGGAGGACCAGGAGACTGTGTTCGTCAGACCTCTAACCATTGACCACCTGATACGAGAGTAAGGTCCAGTCTCTTCGTGACGGATGAGCGTTAATTTCCCTCCAAAGGCAGCGCTGTCTCACGAATTTTCCCCGTAGCTAGAGAGGTAGTGACCGACCAGTGAACAGCTTTAAAAAGCAGGTTTTTAGACGACTGCTAAGTAAAGTGTGATCCATACGCCGGAGGAGATTCGCGGATTTCCTTGTCATTCACCCAATTTCACTAACAACGTTTCTCCGACAGCGGGCGAATTCCACCTGCCCAGCGGTTTCCTTGGCTTGTTTTCTCATCAAACCCTACGTTCCCCATTGGGACTCTCAGTCACTTAGTGCCTGTGGTATTTCTACTATAATCAGGCTGAATCAATCTAGATTGAGCACACCATTTGAAGGACAGCAGATGTGAGTTCCAGCTTCATATGACATTTTCAGCAACCGTTCAGCTGTAGCACCCTTGTAGCATCCCTTAGCTGTAGCTGCCATGCCACCCAAAGGTTGCACGAGGGCTGGGATACTGCCAGGTTGCCCAAGCCTAGACAGGGGAAGTCGAGAGGCGGAGATCGGGTTCGAACCACGGACCTTATGGTCAGTAAATTCGCGCTCTAATCACTTGGGCCATCTCGCCCCCGGCACTTTGACGAATCGTCAATAAGCACGGTACTCTTGAGGATGCGAATAATATCTGTGGCCCTTGCCCCCATGCACTTGATCCATGGATTTCCAGTGGCTCTATCCAACTAATGGATTTTCGGAGGGCCATTCCCATTGATTTTTCTGCAAACGGTTATTTTGTTGATTGGGTCGTAGCAGCAATCACTACGACAAGCCTTGTTTGTCACGCCAGGTTACACTTTTGGAATACTCATGGAACTCAGTTTACGACTAAAGAACTATTCTCTCATGTGACCCTTATTTCATCGTCCTGACTGCTTGACTTGGGGCACAATGTACAGAGTGCAAGCACTACAACATCGTCATCATCACGGACAGCAAAACGTTCTTACTAAAAACCGATGCTTCACTGCTTTACAACCCTAGCNGCAAAGGCTCTAATAAGGGGTTGGAAGAAAGGGTAGGGAAAGTGTCCTGTAGCAAGAGGATTTAAACCAGGGTTTCTAAACTTTTAACAATGCTGACCACTATGTTTGGGTGAGACGCCCTCCGTTGCACAACAGTAGCTGTTTTTACCATGTGAACATGTCATGGCGGGATCCTCGCGAGCCATAGGCGATAAGGACTTGCAATGGAGTGATACTATTTAGTAGAAAGTAGTTGGACCCACGTGGTCTATTTAACAACCGCCCTAACTTTACGTGCCGTTTCTGCTTCCCTTGGGCTTCTGATTAACTACTTATTACTCGCGTACGGATCACTTAATTGACGCAGTTAAAATCGGCAATGTGTGTCGTTCACTTTCATTAACTTCCTCATCTTTATCCGCACTATATTTTTTTGCCTGCTGGTATGTTGCGATGTCGGATATTTAGCCCTCTCCGTAGCTCGATTCAATTCAATTTTTCAATTTATCAGCTATAAAGCGTGTGCCATAGACACATTGGTTCCAGCCGCACGCGAATTGATGGTGGAAAGCGGAGTGCTAAGCGAGCCCGCACAATGGTGTGAGCAGAGTCCAGTTGCGTACCCCAGAAGGAACGACAACCCTTAGCTAAGGCTCTCCATCGGTAACTGATAGCCATATAGCCAAATTGAGTCCACGATTGTATTGCGGTAGGGGGTCTCCAAGTAACTCGGTGTGTGCGTTTGTGTTGGGAGTTCGTACTGTCCAGGAGCAAACGATGATCTGCACACAACTGAAGAGGCCGCTTTCCGTTATCCGTACGCTCAGCGTCAACTACAAATTGACCACCTAACTGTGTTTCTCCCGGACTTAGGCGTCCAACTTGGGCATTAATATCACCGGCCAGGATTACTATATCCGTACTTCTTGCCGACCGAAGTAGTCATGACAGATCGTGATAAAACTCGTCCTTCTCAGTCTCATAACTGTTATATGTTAGGGCGTATACTGATATGACAAACAAACACCGTTTACCGCATCGACGTGCGTTAATCTTAATTGAGCCAGACAACCGCACAGCGCACATGCGACTGTTTACTGGGATCTAGTCCAGTAAGGCGCTTTCAGCCTTGAGGCTGAGTGCAACTCCTACACCGTAGATACCACGAGCCATTGCGTCAGAATCACCGATACCCGAAGCGTGAAATGTGGAACATGTGGGCTCGTCCTAAGCGGCTTGAGGAGCACGATCGAAGTGGGGTCTTGTATGCGTGTTTCGGAGGCACAACATTCATCGATAGAGAGGGGAAGTAAGGTTTCAGCAAGACATGCCTGTTGCTCAATCTGACTTAGAGCACGGACATTGAAGGCTGCAACATGGATAAGATCTTTTGAGGTTAATAGGTGATTATTTTGGTTTATTTTTCTGGGCGGTGGTTGGGATATGGAACAGTAGCTAGGGGCTTGGCAGGTGGGTTCGTTGCACTGCATTTTACGATGGGTTGGGAGGGAATGAGGGAGAAGGCCGGTGAGCAAGAGTAAATGGTATTTCGCGGTTGCCCAGGCCGAAGAAAGGGGTTAAGTTGAGGTACCCCACCTTCAGCCCTTGACTCAAAAGTCTCACCCACAAGGCACTGGGAAGATGTAGGGCTTAGTTCGGGGATCCTGACTCTAGCCTCTGACTCAAGAGTCTGAACCGCGAGACAGCGGTTGTTAGGGTTTTTTGGGACCCTTCCCGGAGCCAATGACTCGATAATCTTACCTGCTTAGCTGCAGGGGGTTGGCCTGACCCGAGTGCACAGGGCGTAGGGCATTACTGTCTCACTCCTGATGCGGCTGCGCACAGCGGGAACCTTTTGAGCAGCACCGGGCTCTTCGGTTTTAAAAGTATTTCGGCCGTATTGAATAATGCGCCGGCGGTCACGGCCAACCGTTGGGTGATCGGAGTGGGCGGTGTTGGGGCCGACCTTTTCTAACCCGTCCTTCCTCGGGGGAAGGCAGCATCACTGCTTCCATAAATATGGACATGCTAGTCGCCTGGGGGGAACGCCTTACTGTCTTCACACTCCTATCGCAGAGGACAGTACGACTTTACCTCCAGACCACCTCGTAATATGACTACTCGTAGTACGGGGACTCGCTGTTTTTCGTCGGGCTGCTCGCCGTTGGCCTTCCTGGTATGACTGAACCTTTAGGGGCTGAGTTTCAACCAGTAGAGCCCACAGAATCATTGCAGCACAAAAGCCTGACCACCAGACAAGGTGACAGCTTCGGATCGTAGCTGGTGCTAGTTCTGCCACATTATTTGCATCCGTGAGTGTAATGCTTCGCAGAACCTTCATAACTCCGGTACGTTCTTGACTCAAGTGATCCAAAGGTGTAGCAGATAAACCTCGACAAATAAATTTCTGTGAGCCCTACAGTATTGAACCATGATGCTTCCTAGTGACTTGTATTACTGTATTATTAGTGACTTGTTTATGCGGATAATGCATTTCTCTTAACCATTTTCCATCAACTTCATACATTCAACCAGAATTTATTACATCAGCATTGTCTGCTTGAGTTGGTGGAAGCTGTTTTCAATTTATTCCACTATGTTCACTTCTTCACCTTTAGATGGCCCAAGGGGTTAGAGCGGGATTTACAGATTAACAGAACTAATTGCGAGATGGCCCAAAGTGGGTAGATTGCGAATTTACTGGCCGGAAAGTTCATGGTTCGAACCCGACCACCGCCTCTCGACTTCCCCTGTCCAGGCTTGGGCAACCTGGCAGTATCTCAGCCCTCGTGCTTCCCTCGGGTGGCATGGCAGTTAGACACCGGAAGGGTGCTACGACTTTAGAAATTATAAAACTCCACTGAGATTGATTTACTTTGGTGTGTGGTTTACCGTTGGGTGGCTGAAAAACCATTTGTAGCGAGTCTACTACATCTTGTGCTTTCTGTTGCAGTTCACTCATCTCACTCCGAATGGTTGGGACCAACCAGTCGTCATCGAAGAGGAAGGAAATCTATAAATACGATGCACCTTGGTGTATTTTCAGCTTGAATTGGTCCGTGCGTCCAGATCGGCGTTTTCGGCTTGCTATCGGTAGCTTCATTGAGGAATACAATAATGAGGTCCAGGTCATCTGTTTGGATGAGGACCAGGGCGAATTTTCAGTGCAAAGTACATTCGCTCATCACTATCCGACTTCAAAAATCATGTGGATCCCGGATACGAAGAATCAATTTCCTGACTTACTAGCTACTAGTGGAGATTATCTGCGTGTTTGGCGTGTGCAAGAGGATAACAATGTCAAATTTGAATGCCGCCTAAATAATAACACGAATTCGGACTACTGTGCCCCACTCACTTCCTTTGACTGGAACGAAGTTGACCCAAACATCCTTGGAACTTCTAGTATCGACACGACATGCACCATATGGGCTCTGGAGGTTAGAATGACTATACTTTAATCCGCATCCTTCTGTTTGTCAATGTTTATTTATATCGACTACCCTACACTGTTGAAGTATTTCAAACCTTGCAAAGGTAACCCAAAGGATTTGAGATGAAGCAAGTGAGGTGTTTTCGGGTATTTCCAACGCTTTTACGCTACCTTAAGTTCGGTCCTAATAACAGTTGCACTCAACTTATTTTGCCCTATTTGAATCTTCTGGTTCCGTCATTTTATTTCTTTGCAAGAGCACTGAGGAAATATCACCTCCTGCTAGCATTGATGAGGACATCCCGGGTCTTTAGGTACCATTCCGTCACCTGAAAGTTCTCAGATTCCTTTAAGACAGCCAATAATGGTGAATCGTGTCATCCCTCAGATACCATGCTTTTTGTGGCTCGTCTTAGAGATTTTCGGCTGTGGGACCTTCACAACTTCAAAATGACAAGTTTACTGTATGTTCCACGTTTAATAGTGTCACTTGACTACTCAACTCACACGTTTGATCTCCGTTACCTTCACTATCTTACAAACTAGAGGTTCAGTTCGATTAATTATAGCGACCATGAATCGTGTACGTTGGTTCTGGTTGCCTTAGCTTGTACTGGCCAGCGCAGGATGGAAGGGCAACGTGAGAGCATAAAACAAATAGAAAAGAAAGAACAGTCGGTTAGTGGTTAAAGCTAAAAGAATAGGTACAACAGCACCACTAGTTTTGTGACGTCCCCTGTCACTGAGTGTCTTTGCTCATTAACGTGGTGCAGCTACTACTTCTCGTTACCCAGCCAGGTATAGATTTTACACTCTTCAATGGTTCTGATGCCATGACTAACTTTGATGGTTTACTCACCCACCTTAAAGGCGAGAAAATGCTTACTTAATCGCATGGCAATGTTATTTAAACTTTTTGACGCAATCTTTTCATGGATAGGATCTGAATCGGATAGCGAGACATCGTCGACGTACTCCAGGTTTTCAAGTCTCCACGAGGGAATTCTACCCCAAGGGTAGTATATGTAACAGGAGTTTCTTCCATAATCATTTCAGTGACGAAGTTGAGAAGGAACTTTGACAAAATGTGGGTCCGCCGGACAGCCCTTTTTTGTGGTGACCTCAGGGGGATACCCTCCGTAGACTTCTAGAGGCTCACAGGTGTTGGAATATCATGAATAATGGAATGTCTTCGAGACGTGGTTTTACTTGTGGGCAGTTGCGAAACTTGTAGAATTTTTATCTGTGCCATATTCTTGCACGATCACCCTCATATTCTAAAGCAGTCAGTTGTGTTAGTCCACATCGGTAGTGTACATCATTGGTCGTGCCAGGATCCGAATATTCGGGTCTGTTCAGGCGTCATAATTCCGTTCGACCCATTGTGCGCTAGTGAGGCCCTTTGGAGCGGGCGTATTTCAAAAACGGACAAAAAATTGCCCAGCTGTAGAATCCTTTGTGTGCCTAGCTGCCATGCCAACGGGAGGAGACACGAGAGCTGGTATACTGCCAGCTCGCCCAAGCCTAGACAGGAGCAGTCAAGATGCCGGGGTCGGGTTCGAATCACGGACCTTCCGGTCCGTAAGCTTGCGTCTTAACAACTGAGTTATCTCTACACGTCAGATATGCAGAAGTCGTAAACGCTAAATGGCAGGTGGCAAGTATATATGGTCGATCTGACGGATCTCCAACCCACTTGCTTATTCATGAGGATTGTTTGAAGGCTGTTGATCGCAGGAGCTAACACTGCACTGCTCCAAGCTACGACGCAAATTGCCCTTAGTGTGAGGTTCAACGCTTCACGAGGCCGTAGATATCAAAATCAGTAGTGTAGGTATATGTATCGGTTTTCAGTGCATTTTAAACTTGAAGACTATTCTTCACTATGTCTATTTTTTGTTGGAAATCCCATTTGAATGAAAAAATGAAGTGGTGTTCAGCCAGAAAAATCGGTAACTTATCAACTCTGCTTATCAGGATTGTACTGATCACTTCCTGTTATTACACATCCCTGTTTGCACCACAGCGCTTGTACGGCGGTATCTTATGTCACAGACCATGACCACCGTTTACGTCTTTCAGACAGACATGGTATCCTGTAAAGTTCACATTCTGTGCTCGCGGAGCTTGGATTCTCGTCTCATGAACGTACGTTTTTGTCGCCTTTTCCTAATTTACGTTTTGGTGTCACTCCTGGTTGCAGACTCAACAGGCTTTGGGGCATACAAATGTGATTAGCGGCCACGTGGAATCGCAGTTGATTGCACATGACAAGGAAGTTTACGACATTGGCTTCAGTCGGATGGGAACCGGTCGCGAAATGTTTGCCAGTGTTGGTACGTATTCCATCCACCCCGTGGATAATTTTTCCTGCTTGGGGTTATTTGTGACTATATGTATTTCCAGTGCATTTCCCCATACGAATAAGCTCTTCTGAGGGGGTCAGTGTGTAATTTTTTTGCCATTCATGGTTGCTCTTGTATTTTATCATTCTTTACTGGATTTCGTTTGCAGTGTCACTCTCAATCGATAAATTGTCATGGGTTGATACCAGGGGTCTAAGTTCCTAACTTCTTATGTTTCTACAACTGGTTTTCCGTTCCTTGTTGTTGGCAACCTTTTTTTCTTCAAGCTGTTTGTTTAGTCATCCTCAATTTTATTTCCATGTAGTAACCGCAAATTTCATATGTATCATTGTGGTACACAGTCGAAAGTAAGTTGAGAGATTGGCTACAAGTCGAGCCTAACTATCTGGTCAACCTCACTGAGCTGGCCAGTGTCTCGCTAAGCAGTTGGTTCACTATCATTGTCTTCATTGTTTATTAGGCAGCAGGAAGGCCTAGAAATGCTTGTAGAAAAACATACCTCTAAAATTGGTATTCCACATCTTGCCGTTCGTGTGTTTAGTCGTTCCCGATTGGGTCCAAAAATAACTATCTTTTTTTCCTGACTTCTATGCAAAGATGGAGATTAAATTCTCAGTCGGCGCTTGTCTGACTCATTTGCCTCCGTTCGTGGGAATCAGACCGTCCCAACTAACTGAAATGAGTCGATAATAGTGCCCATTTTCAAAAAGAGTGCTCGTGGTGTATATGGAAGTAACAGAGAAATCAGCTTAATCACCGTAGTAACTAGACTCCTTTCGCCGCTCATTTTACGTCGTCTTACGAAGGCGCGCAAAGAGGGGACCAGAGAACAACAGGAAGGATTCTGACCAGGACCACATCTTTACACTTCGTTTGGTCCGGTTATCAGGTTAGTTATTTTCAGCACGCTTGCGCAACAGCGTATGCCCCAGAAGTTCATAGATATCATGCGCTGTTTGTATTCACTTACTTGTGGGCACATGAAAATATATGGGGTGCTCTCCAAAAGCTTTCTTACAAGCAGTGGTGTCCGAGAAAGATGTTTGCGCGTTCCATGGATAGCTCGCAGTAGAGTAAGCGCAAGTAAGTCGTTTTTATAGAGACGGAGAAATTAACTACCTCGGCCGACCAAAGTAGGGACTAATTAAAATGGACAGTATCGGCCAGCAATTTTTGGCGGGCGAACCAAACAGTGCTCGTGTGGCTACTTAACGAGAATCTCAATGCGTAAAACACACTGTTGGCAGATTTCTGTGCACATTAGATTACTACACGAAAGGCCTTTTTTCGTTTTAGGTGCTGATGGTTCTGTTCGTATGTTTGACATTCGCAATCTCAAACATTCCACCATCATCTATGAGGATGCTAACCATGCTCCTCTACTCCGGTTGGCCTGGAATAAGCAGGATTCCAATTATTTGGCTACGTTTGCCATGGATTCTGTTGAGGTTAGTCCCTTGTGATTTCCCATCTACGGGTACCAGCTCGTGCTTGATTAATTCTGCCTTTCCTCCGAAGCGATCCAAACTAACTCTACTCTTGGTGTCAACCAAGGGCATTTTAAGCGGTGTTGCTCTTCTTCCCGGGTTTTTATCTGCTTTTGTTTGTTGTCCGGTAGATTCCCACTGGATCAATGGGTTCACTCCAGCCATGAACACGAGACATCTATGTTTTCCCAAATTCGTTTAGGGAGACGGTGCAGAACAGTCGCCAATTTCCACTGCTTATGACCTTGCTCTTGAGGGATTATCTAATTCTTGCGGGCTGCTAGTCGTGAACTAGTCGATCACTGATCAACTCATGAATGCCGCCTTGTTTAAGCACCAGCAAGAAGTCTAGGTAACTTGGAGTGTCAACCCACTCTTGGGAATCAGCGACGTGTTTTCTCTCACCACAATGCTAGGACTGCAACCGTTTTTTATGCGTCCGGAGCGGGAATCGGTGCAACTGGAGCATCATCGGAGTGCAGCTAATTGTCGACGTAAGGCCAACAAAGACATGCAGGGTTATCTGAAATCTCTTTTATATCTCCTTTATACTACTGCGAGCTTCTGCAGTAGCGTCAAAGCTTGCTAATTCGTCATCGTCGAAAACCTGAAGACGCCTCACATCATCTACCCGAAGAGGCCATGTCTCGCACCCATACAACAACACAGCCCTTACTGTAGCCTGGTACACACGACCCTTAAGATCCAGTGAGATGCCTTTTTGACGCCACAAGTGACGCAAATTAGCAAACTTGATTCGAGCCTTTGAGATTCTTGCACTGACTTCATCAGACACACTTCCGTCAGAGCTAATACAACCATCGAGGTATGTGAAGTTTTCCACAATCTCCAGTGGTTCTCCCTGAATTGTAAGGGATACGTTCGCAGATGGCACGTTCTGAAGCAGGACTTTGCACTTTGAAGGTGCAAGGCGCATGCCAAAAGATGGTATGATGGCGGTCAGTTTATTCAACAAGGTTTGTGCTTCGCTATGTTCTTCAAAGATGAGGGCGGTGTCATCTGCGTACTCCAGATCGACAAGGCTCTTGCCAGCAACAATTTGAACACCGGCGTTTTGAAAACCGTCCAGTGTTCGCCTCATTATTTCATCGATGACGAAGTTGAACAAGAATGGGGATAGTGGATATCCTTGTCTGACAAGGATGCTTGCTAATTATGGTTCACCTTATCTTATTGTGTCACTTGCCCGAGTTAACGAAACGCGTGTTGCTTATGGTATTGGTTAGCTGCTGTCACCTAGTCTGAAACAGCCTGCTTTATCCGGTCAATCCTTTGTTATCTTTGATCAGGAAGTGCGCATTTAAGCATACCACAGAACAGCCTAACAGCAGCCTCGATGGAACGCAGTATTCAGGAAACCTTTTAACAGAATTTTTGGCAAGTCAAGGTTTCACGATTTGTCAATGGGCTGGTGGTTTGAGTACGAATGCCCTGGTTCCAGTCAGTAGCATACTGAGTAGGTCGGGACCGTTGTCATGAAAATGTTATCAGATTATTCAGTATCAGATAGTATACTTAGTTTTGCCGTTTTAATTAATTAAATTAATTTACAACTTATTACCACGACCTTTTTCTGACCTTTCAGTTAAAATATTGCAGCGTTTTCCAAATCCTCAGAACGGACGCCGGCGACCAACTTTAAGGAGTCCACCTGCTCTCCTGGAGTAGTTGCTAATGATTTCATATACTCTACAATCTATTGCCCCTCTTGAGTTTATTTTCGTTCAGTACTGTGCTAGCTGCCTGATCGAGAGAGCTCACTGGTTAAGAGACGAACTCACTGAACGTGAGTTCCTTGGTTCAGATTCAACCCGGGTATCTGGACTGCTTCTGTCTGAGCTCGGGCAAACTGACAGTATGTCAACCTTCATGCTTTTTCAGGATGGCGTGGCAGCTGGGTGCGGAAATTGTGTTGTAACTGAACGATTATTTTCTGATTTCAACTACTTTGCTACGTATCCGTCCATTCTTCGCATCATTTAAACCAGGACTTTTAGGTATAATATTCTTTATGCAACTTTTTCCGTAGATTATCATCCTCGATTTACGTGTACCATGTACTCCCGTCGCGCGCCTCAATAGCCACCGAGCATACGTGAACGGTTTAGCATGGGCTCCGCATTCTAGCTGCCACCTTTGCACTGCGTCAGAAGACTGTCAAGCGCTCATTTGGGATATACAATCAATGCCTCGTGCTATCGAAGACCCAATTCTAGCGTATACTGCTGCCGGAGAAATAAACCAGATCCAATGGTCCTCAACACAACCAGATTGGATTGCGATATGCTATAACAGCTCTATGGAAATTTTGCGGGTTTGAATTCTATGACACCAATTCCGACCATATTTTGGCTCTGTACATACATCACCACCCTTGTTTCCTTCCTTATCTGATTTCAAAGTTGCTTGCTTTCCTTTTTTCGTATGTTGCACAATAAGACATACTTGTTCGCGGCAAGATGTTCTTTCGCTTCGTAGCTGCTGTTCACCAGTGTACTGCCATAGGGCTTCACCGAAAGGTCGTTCACTACTGGTATGCACGTGAAAGTGTGCTCTATGCTTCTGTGAGGATTTCGGCATACACCTTTCGCTGAAAATGAACCTAGCCTATTCAGCATTCGTATGCATTTGAAGGTATAGTTGATAAGGTCTGTCTGTACATGAGTGTGGGAGTTGAGGCACACATAATGACGGTCATCATATGATTCTGTTGAACACTCTATCCTGGGCTATTGCTCATTCCATTTTGAAGTCATATCGCAGAAAAACGCTTAAAGACTGCTGCGTAGAGCACCACTCATCCATCTGCTTTGTCGGGCGTGAAAGTTGGATTCATTGATGCTGTCAAGATACTTTGGATAGTGTTGTCACTCAGTGTGGCCGGTCGAGCACCATTCTTGAGTATTGTCTTTCCAAGGTCTTGTGGTTCTCTGTGGTCCTCTTCAAGTACTGATCCAACGAACAGATTCCCTGTGGTCATGAATTTATTGTACGCAACGTTCATCGTCTGTTTTCAGCAGTTTTTCTAATACATGTACATAGGATCGGGCAATGCAACTTTCGGGCTCAGTACTATTGGTGAGTGAGCTTTTACTCCCAACTTAGTTTCTGTATAATATTCCACATACGGAGAAGCCATCGGTAACTTCAGAATGGATTATATCCAATACATGTAAATAGCATGTAAAATAGACATACGAGGCAGTTTTCGGGATGTAACCTCCAACTGTATAATGCCAACGTGATTGGCTGTAAGAAAAGGACGGGACACTGCGAAGGGTCAAATGATGCCATCGGTTGCTGACAAACCGGTATATTTAGAAAGCAGTAACGACTGAAATCGGCCCTAAAGACGAACGGAGACTGGTTCGAGAGCTCGGCCGTCGACGTGCATTGTGACGCGGTTCCGTGCCGCTCAACTCAGTGGATTGAGAGCAGTCGAACAAATGCGCTTTAACCACAATCCAATGCTTCGATGAGCCGGAAGACTTGAAGGCAAACACGTCTTACATTGTAAGAAAGGTCCGACAGGCAGGATATGATGTGGCAGTAGGGAATGAAGAATGCTACGAAAAGCTTGCCTTCTGTTGGCGCTTTTCACATTCCAGTATGAAGTCCACATGACCGTCCTTACCCTGGGCTATGGCGGCTAACTGATGTCAGTAGCGTTCATGCTATTAGTTCCTATCCGTATTGTCTACTTGAGTATTGGAACTGTAGCACCTCAAATTTGATAGGCTAGCCCCAGATCTCCACTCCTATTCCATTTGTCTTATTCCCATTAGAAGGCTCGATTCAAATAAATAGTTATGGTTGTATAGCAGTGGTACACCAATGTCCTCTGGTGTTGCGGTCAATGATGGTGATGACCCGACAAGTGAAAATGGCACACCCCGAATCAGTCAGTATTTACTGCTGCATAGGTGAGACTTCTTCCTTATTTAGACTGACTTGTCTTTCGTTTGTTTGACTAGTCACAATAAACGGCTGACCTGACACGTATTCTGGTTACAATGTGGCCTGAAGTACCACAGTGCAGCTGGGTGGCATGACGAGAGATGGTTCAGTAACCGGGGCCAAAAAGAAGTTTTTGGTAGGTGCCCTTTGGCATGCTGCAAGGTCCATAATTTATATGCGTCGATTGTCTTGCGTGACTACGTCTCATAAAGCCATCCGCGAAATTGTCAGAATCCAACTACCAGATATTTGTTTAACTTCCATGAATGTGCAACTCGGCGGATAATGTACTCCACATATCTGTGAACTTCATACCTCTCTATGATTTTCAGAGCAGTTGAACCCTATGTGACTGACTGATATGCGAGTAAGCGTCTTCTATGATTGCTTGGAAGATGGGCTGTAGGAAAGTGATCCAACCACAATCTGTAAAGCTGTAAACGGATATTCTGTCCTTACCAAGGCTCCCCAAGATTGGCTGCGCTGATTATAGCTGTGAAAAATACTTTCTTAAAATACTTTCTAATCGAAAATACTAATCTAAAATACTTTCTTAAAATACTTTCAAAATACTTTCTAATCGAAATAAATGGGCGATTCTGCTGTGAAGACCAAACCATTGAGTGCACTACCTTCCATCAAAACGAAGATGTGCATTGTTGGTAACGCTTACCCTTATTACCTTCAACCAAGTCTGAGAAGGAGAAACACAAGTCAGTGAAAACATTACAGTGAGCAAACGTCATCAAACCCCGAAACATGTTGGATAAAGGTACTATGACTGTAAGCATGATTCAGTATTGGCCTTACCAAGACAAGGCAACGCAGAGCGGACTACAAATTGCAGTTTACACAAACAGTTTATATTGTCCAATTTCCGTCGCTTCAGTGAAGAGTAATAAACTGTTCAATTAGTTGGGAAACGCTAGGAACCGACTGAGAAGTCATCGTTTTCGGAAAATCCGTCGTTTTTCTCAAAAAACGGTGGACTTTTTTCAGACAGTTTGAATTTGCGTACTATTTATGGTTCGTTGCAGTCCTTGCAATCCAAAATTGGCGAGCGTTTGGGTTGCACGAAACTCTCAAGCTCCTATTTGTTAAATTCTTTGGCGCGTTCTCAGACATTCTTGTATACAACCATCTCTTGGTTCTTCCGATTACCTGCTACCGTAAGTACATTGAAAAAGGTATACGCAGGAAGGTGTTTGGTTAGTTTCTATAGGAGTTCATCGTATTTGGTTGAGAAGTACTAAAGTCGTAGAGTTGACTTGTGTACAAGCAGTGTATCATCAACCTTACGACTATAGATACACGCTTCCCGTATAAACTGGTGTAATTTTGTATTCTTCTGGTGACTCGTATAAATATCACATGAAAGTCGTCCCGGCAAACTTCCAATCGCCGCTCCATTAATTTATTAGTAGAACCTATGCTAAAACAGAACTACACACCTTTAGTGAATAACAACATCAGCGAGCAGAGACGATCAGTAGGAATACCCAATTCTTCGGTATCCTTGCGTGTTGCATTTATGGTTTTCCCAGTAGGAACGTCTGTAAAGAGAGAGCATACATTACATGACTCTGTATGCCTCTAGGAAACACTCAAATTTCGAATTTCTCCTTATTGGTTCAATGCCGCGTTCCAAATAATGGCTCTGCCGCTGACGCAATTCATGCGCAAATCGCTTGTTTCATTCCTGGTGTTCTGTCCAGCCCAGTGCTTCGTCGTTACAGACGCGGAGACTTTGTCTGGTGAATCGAAGCTTTAAACCCAATCTGTGTAAACAAGTGGAATTTTCAGTCGGCCTTGCCATGGTACGGCTGATATTGAATCATCTCTACAGGCTTAGTATCTTTATCTAGCCTGTTCCGAGGTCTGATGACCTTTGCTGGCTGTAATGTTTTCACTGACCTATGTGTTTGTTCATCAGACTATCCGTCAGTTGTTATGCCCTAATCAAACGGCTCAGCGGATTGGCGAAACACTCAAATCCAGTCTATTTATTATGATGCTTCTTTTTTCATGAAATTCACCGACGCAGCTGGATGCATGAAATGAGCCTTCCGCCGATTGAAGCTACACTGGTTTCTGTCACTCCTGAAACGATTGTATGCATACCCCTGATCGCGATACGCAGTTTAATGGAGTGTTTCGTGTATCAGACACAGGGGAAACTGATATCATGTCTGCTGTTTCCGTCGTAGTGACTAGGTTAAGAGGTTAGTTGAAATTTAAAGCGGAAGGAGAACCGATCGGCTAAGTCAAGCTAAATCTCTGGTAGGTGTCGGTCGAGGGATTTTGTGTATTATGGTGGTTGGACAGGTGTTGGGTCGATGGGGAGACCTACATGTGTTCGGCTTCAGCCTAGGGTCTAGTTTTTCTGGTTGGGTTCATTTGATGGTCCCTCTTGAACGTCGTTTGAATCTTCTGTTCTTTGTGGATGTCCTGGTGCTAAGATAGTTGTGTAAGAGGAGTGCTCTGACCTTTGGTCGGGCTGGGATTTCCACGTGGATTGACAACCACACCGCCACGTGTCAACTCGGTTTATCTAAGACCGCTTTCCATACGCTCGCCAGTTCCACAACCTCGATTCTGTTCACGCTGTGATGCTTGGCTATTTCCACCGCCTCGGTTATCAGCCGATGTGATGTGAATCGCAGTCACCGTCCTAAAACTTCCACATTTTCCAGATCTATGTCCCGTGTCTGAGGTATGTACTACCATCGCTGAGCCTTTAACCAGCGTTTGGCATTCTTCCGCATTCCTTGGTGGTTTGTTTATCTTCCTTTTATGTTCATCAATTGTGGTGTGCAATTCTCTGGCAGTTTGTCCTATGTAAACCTTATTGCAATCGTTGCAGTCTCTGGTCTTTGAGCTAGCTAGATTTTTGGCGGATGTACTAAAATCACTCATGGGGAAATCAAGCAGTCGTTAGGAATCCGTACGACTTTGCCAATATGGTCACAGGTCTTGCTTTAGAGATAGACGAAGTCCTTGTGAGTTTTGACGTAATCTCAAAGTACACAGACATCCCTGGGGCAAATGCCTTGAAAGTTATTACTGGCAGACACAACGCTTGAGAAACGGACCCAGCTCTCAGTGGGTGGAATAATTGAGGGCATAAGAGTGTTTGAATATTGATCAGTTTGTTTTCGACACGAATGCTTACTCAAAAGAACAAGGTCTTGCAATGGGATCTCCAATATCCTCATTTTCAGCTTATATTTATATGCAGGACTTCGAACAAATGGCCTTGGCCGGATATCATAGTTCACCGAGTTTTTTGGTGTTATGTTGACGATACCTTAGTTGTAATGAAACGAGATAGCGTGAACAGCTTCCACGACTATCTCAGTAGTTTAAATCCACACATTAAGTTTAGCATGGAGACAAAGTTAACCTCGGACACATTACCCTTTCCGGACTGTATGACACATAAGATGGCGGAAAATTAAAACTGCAATCTACCAGAAACCAACACACACAACAACTGCC